TTTTATTCCTGGCCCTGCCTCTAGTTTGGTGAGTGATTCTGAAGAAGTCACTTCACCTCTCTGTCCTTCAATTTCCCGATCTGTAAAATGGGGATAATGATATTTACATCCTTTGTATAGCTCTTTGAGATCTATTGCTGAAAAGCACTGTTCAAATATGAGTTACTATTATTACAACATCTAGCCATTATTATTACTATTATTAATAATAAAGGCATTTGAACAAAAAGCCAACTGCTAAATCCCTATGGAATAAATCCATCTCTAGTGGACTGCCAGTTACTTCAACAGCATTACAGTGAGGATGGGTCTAGCTCCATAAGCAGTTGTATTAAGTAAACACTTTATTAAGCTAGCAAATACTTATTAAAATGGGTCATTTATTGATTTGATTATGGAGCTGCTTTTCAACTAATATATAGACCACTGTAGTTACAGTTCTAAAAAAAAAAAGTAAATATCTCTACATTGGATAAAATTCAGGAAAAACAAAAACAAGGACAGCAGGGATCTCACTGATTTAAAAATTGTATGTTTCACGTTAGAGAGTTTTGCTAAATTTGGCATTCTTTAAACCATAAGGATTTATAGAACTGACTGTAGTTTGCTCTAGTGCTGGTAAACACTATTAATACTTCCTCCTTCAGCTCAGCTAAAATATACTTCAGAAAGGAAGGTAAAGGAGAAAAGGAAAAACACCCTCAGAAGAAAGGTATGGGGAGGACAATTTTCAGAAGTGGGCACCCACAGAGGACATACAAAGCTCTATATGGACTCTCAAATCTGCACTTAGCACACAAGTGCTCATTTTATGTGCCTAACTGCCAACACAAGCCTCCAAATAGGGAATTTGAATTTCCTATTAAAATTATCACATTTGCAAATTGTGTCCAAAGTGTTTAGTTTGCCTTCAAAATCTATTTGAATGTTGCCGTAGGTTTGCTCAAACCTTTGACTCACACTGTACGTGTAAATCTGAATTCTGAAGCACACTTTGAACCATCATAATCAACCACTATTTTGGGTGGTATGGGTGGGGGTGACAGGCAGGAGCAAGCCAGAGAATTTTAGACACAAACAAGCTAATGAAGCATCTGTGACAAGTTAGGCAGCTGGGCACAGAGAATTTCTGCAACCATCTGGTTAATTCTTTCACAGTAATGTTCAAAGTAAACAGCTTGTCACACTGATACATCCTGTTACCTATCCTGTTATTATTACATGTGATTACAAACTGCATACAATATTAGGCTCTGTTTCCTGCTATTCCCACGTGACAAGCCATTCCTTTCTGTGAATCAAATTCTTCTTTAGTTTCTGCCACCCATTGACTTTCAGTATATACATTTATACTTCATCCTCTATGTTATGATATAGTATGTCCTATTGGGATAAATTCTTTTTTGTCAATGGGCCAGATCTGGTGTGAGCACTTCTGATGCAAACCTTCACATGACTTTTACAGTCACTTGAATATTAATGAGATTTTTGACTTTTATTAAACATTTTTGTTAACAACTGGTCTCACACAATATAAATGTTTGAGGCAAATGAATAAAAATTATTACAAGTAGTGTTGCAGTTAGTTTGAGATTTTTATTCAAAACAATGCACACTACTTCCCATGTCTAGGTGTAATTGAGAATAGAATTTGAAATCCTTTGTGTATAACTTCATACATCCTGATTCACATTAATAGTCAATTAATAAAGACCAATACAAGACTGAAACCTATATCATACTGAATGCTGTTATATGTTATTAAACAAAACATTTTAAAATAGTTGTTTGAAATCTAAAAGAAAAAACCATGAAAGCACAAAAATTAGAAGGGAAAACTGAAAATTTATGCCTTTTGAGAAATCTTTATCAAAGAACAAATGGACAGTCTTATTTTAGCTTGTGTTCTTTGCACTGAACTGAAGCTTTTCAGTGTATGGGAGGGGAAATGTGATGGGAGGAAGAATTTAGAACACTGATTTAGACACACATACATTTGTGCATCCCCTCTTTTTGCAGTTTTAAATTTTTAAAGTTTTAAATTTTTGAACTGAGAAGAAGAGATTAAAACACTTACTGAAGTATTAATCCAGGTATTGACTTTTTAGCTTTCACGAGTCTATCAGCTATTTCTGTTTCGATATGTAAATACGAGAGAGCTAGGACATGACAAACTATTACAGTCATTTTTATTAATATCCAACCTTCAGTGACTACCAACACAAAGATCAGGATGAAATTAATGGCTGGTCTGCATGTGGAAAGACTGCTGGATCTCATCCTAAAGTGATAACCAAGAGATTGTAAATAATATAAATATTGGGCCAACTCCTAAATCCACCTTTTTCAGTTTTTACTCAGTCCTTACTCAGGCTAAACTTCCTTTTAATGAAAGCTTGCTTGAGTAAGGATGAATATAACTGCATTCAAGAGACAGTTATATTTAGGAATCAAACCTGTGCGTGAAAATGTTTAACAAGTAACAACTAAGATTACTGTTCCTGAAAAAGACTAGAGAAAACAATATATTTTAAAATATTTTTTACTTTTTTTTTATTTCAATGGGATGACTCGTACTTAACATAGGACATGTGCTTAACTCTCTCTCTTAATCAGGGCCATAACTGCCAAATGATGATGAAATTTATGCCTTAGGAGTAATTAATCTTTTGATATTGTTCTTTTGATATTAATATCTGGTTATTTTTCTTCTTACCATAATAAAACATTTGAAACAAACAAACCAAAGTAAAATAAAATAAAAGGCAAATGTGGGTTGTAAATTGTCTTGGGGGGACTCAGGGGCAGATGTAATAAACTACTTTTAACTCATTTTTTGAAGCTGTCTAGATTTCACACTGATGGTATTAATGACCATTTTAAATTTAATTGTACTTGTGTTAAAACATCTTAAAAATAAAATAAAATTTTTTTAAATTGATTTGTATAGGCCTGATCCCTCTTTCAGTTAGGCCTGTACAACTTGTCTGCACTGGTCTCAGAACTGAATTCGGCTTTAAGTATTTAATCTTCCGCTATACTGTGTCGTGTGGTGAGCCCATGCTGTGCAGTGACCCTGTCAGATGTCACAAGCTAAGTAGGGTCAGATAAGCTAAGCAGAGTCAGGCCAGGTCAGTACTAGTGTGGAAAATCTAAGTGCTGCAGGCAGTGGTTTTAGGGATCCAATAGGTGGCAATCTTCCCTTTAAATCAATACTGAACCAATACCTTAGCATGGTGTTCAGGGGTGAGGAGCCATCACTGGGATGGGATGTAAATCAAATGTTCTGATCAATTGTGGTAAAGCGATGTCCAATGGCATTTTTAGTAAAAGTAAACATGTTAACCCCTGTGTATTGGCTCTGATAATTATATTCTGCCTTCCTAAAACCCTTAAAGTGTCAATTAACTAAGGAAGAGCTCTGTGTAGCTTGTAAAGCTTGTCTCTCTCACAACAGAAGTAGGTTCAGTAAAACATATTACCTCATCCACCTTGTCTCTCTATATGGTACTTTTCTTCACTTTGCCATAAACTGCTGAGCCTCATTAAATCCAGGAGGGGGCTGTATTTTAATGCTGGATGAAGTAATCCCTTTAAATCCATTACATACCATTCCTCGCAGGGGTGTTGTGGGGCTTAATTAACTACCCCCCGGTATACACTTAATATTTAGATCAACCTAGATATGTTTCTCAGGTGTGTGAAAAATTCATACCCCTGAACACCGTAGTTATATCAGCCTAATCACAGCTAGGTTCTTCTATCAACCTCGCTACCACCACAAGGTGAGTTGTAAGGCGTTTTAATGTCAATGTAGGTAATAGATGCCACTGTAGCACCTGTAGTGTAGACATGCCCTAGGGGTCTGATTGTTCCCCTGACATTCGTGGGCACACAGTATCATCTTAACATTACAATCCTCTTTTTTGGTAGTGAGAGTCAGCTGTTTCCCCAGTATTGTGTCCCACATTCCTCACTCCTGTGCATGTTTCTTGATAGGGTCCAAGATCTGAGACTGAGAAGCAGGTGGGCTGGGAGGGAAGAAGAGGGAGACTCAGAGACCAAGTCAGGAGGATATGTATCATCTTTCTTTTAACTCACATGGAATCAGCTCAGATAGTAATACTGGCTGAGGCTGCATTCATTTCTGAGTACAACCACTCTGAAGACTGAAGCGCCACTGGGGTTGGCTAGAGTATATTTGTGGCATCGAATCAGAGAACCATGTGGGTCTTCAGGACTGTTTGCTCTCAGGAGAAGCCCTGTTAGCACTTTGGCCATGCTGATGAGTTGCCAGAGGAAGCTGTGATGCAACCTGGACCTTTCTTTGTAAAGCATTTTGAGCCTAAGTTGAAAGGTGCCTCAGAAGTGCAAAGTGACATTATTATATATAACCATTTTATTTGACTAAATCTGAATGTTTAATTCTTAAAGTGAGCATTTAGATGTTTAGATTAAACTAACGTTTAATTAGTAAAGTGAGAAAGCACAGACTTTCCTGCTGTTTCGGAGGCACTAGGATACAGGAACTGTTAGCAGTCTGCACATTCCTGAAAGGTAGACTTCCTATCAGCTTAAGAAATGCATAGTGGACATCAAGAAATGCAATTATCAAGGCCCACAAGAAAGAGTTTCTCTCTTTGTGCCATAAAATATTTATGCAGATACTGGCAACACATTCACAACGATACCTCCCAGATAATCATTAATACTTGGTTTAAGGTTGATGTTTGCTTCAAAATTCTGGTGGTGTATTTTCTCCAGGAGTGAAACTGCTGAAAAATCACAAACTCTACTTTTACATTAATCCACTAGGCTTTGTAAATCACACAAAGTTCTTTATCACATCTTTGCCTTAAAATAAAGGGATCCTAAGCTATATTAAAACTATGCCAAAGGGGGTTAAAAATGTTCAAGAAGACAGAGAAGTTTGAATCTGTTCAATGAAACCATTCCATTGGGCAAAACGCATCAACTTATAACAACAGTGTGGTACTCACAGGCTTTCGGACATCTGGCAGGGTAATCCACAATGGCAAAACAATGGGGAAAACAGCAAGATACATGAGCTGTTTGCGTAGGGTGTCAGGCCAGGCCAGGCTGAGAGGCTGCTCTTCATCATCGTCTTCTGAATTCTGTCATAAAAATGGAAGTGAATAGAAGGTAAGTTGGGTGAATAAAGTCAGCGATCTCTTAGGAGAAAGTCATGCGAACTTCATGCCTCGAAGAAAGACTCATTGGCTGCAGGTATATTACAAATATTGGGCTTGAATTGCCAGCGTTGGTGCAGGAAGGTGCAAGCTGCACCAGCCTGTGTCCCAAAGGGTTCTACCCCTGAAGAAGGGCAGATTATGTTTACACTGCCAGGAGTCTATGCAATAGCAGCCAGGGGGATGGAGCACTAAACTGCAGCTGGAGTTTCGCATGAATCCTGCTGACAAAGGCTGCCTGGCGATGCAATGAATCAGTGGCCCCTCCATTGCCAATGCTAGCCATTCTTTGGGATTGCACTGACCAGCTTCAGGCATCCTGGCAGAGTGGGGATGTAGCCCAGTGGGCTAGTTTGCTTTATTATATTCATTGCTCCTGTAGCCCAGTGGACTAGCTCACCTTCATTATATTTACTGCTTTGCATTATATTCAGCAGTAATGCAAGAAACCTACAGGCCCGTGTGCTGTAAGATATTAGCTTCAGCAAGTTAGCATACAAATGTCTGGGACCTTTCACCTAGATAAATGGAGCTAAAGCATAAGGTCCATGTATAACTGCGACCTTTAAAATAAAGGATGTGTTAAAGCAGATAGGCATAGGGGCTTTCCTAACTTCATTCCCTTTTAAGCTTAACAAGTACATCACAACTTAGAACTTGGAAAGAACCAAAATAACCAGGTAGGACAGAAATAACAAATGTGATAGCTAACCACAAAAGGGCCATGGTAACGAATTGACGTATATATTAAATTGAGATCATTGAAATACTAACCTATAGAAAAAAGACACTCCAACATTAGTGAGGTGAGAAAATACAAATAATAAGAAGGGAAAAATCCCCTACTGAATATGCATTGAACATAACTGTGTCAGCATAACAAATTATGAAAGTAGCATCCCAGCCTAGGGGCAGTAGGAGAGAGAGATGCAGTCCTTGGGAGGTGCCAAAATGATGGCCACTGGTGATGATGGGGAAGGTGATGGTGATGAGGAAGATGATGGCTAACATTTCAGGTTGTTCTACAAGGGATGATGCGAGTATATGGATCTGCAGATGTACATTCTGTAGTATCTCTATCTATCTTACTGAGTTGGGGTGTTTGTAACTCTGCCAAATGTATTAATAAACATAAAAGAGTTCCTATAGTCAGTGTTGCAGCTGTGCACATCAGGGTTTCCAACTATATAATAATTTGAATAATACTGGGCCTGATCTTGGGGCAAGAACCTGTCAACCCTCAAAGTGATAACTGGGGATTCTTAAGTAATCAATATAATTAATACATAATCTAAGACCAGGCTACAGGGATTGTATTCACTTTGTGCCTCTGACATCTCCAGACAGACTTCCACCACTGTTTCCTCCATCCTGGGTTATACTGGGCAAAACTAGAGTAACCCAGGCCTGAATCAAGACCATCCATAATGTTTTGCCCTCTGACCTTCCAGTAGCACATCAATTTTTTAGCAACTAACCAGCAAAACTTTAGGGAAAAACTCTCACTCACATGATGGATCTTCACCCCAATATTTTAATCTCTCTACACACCAGTGTTTTTTGTTTGTTTTTACACCCTACTGTTAATTGCTTTTCAGCCCCTTGCTTTACCACAGGATAAGCTTGGAGGGACTTCTCCTGTGACATGGGATCTTTATGGCTGGCCACATCACTTTTCCTGTTTCTCTGCCTTCCTTTCACTCCTTAGCATGCAGGTGACGTCAGACCCTTTAGGACTGCCATAGAATGCCACTAATGGGCATGACCTAGACTACTTTGACACTTATACCTGTTTTCTGGCCTTTTTGCCCAAGAGGCCAAATTCATCCTTGGTGTAACTCAAAGAGGCGATGTTAATGGGATTACACCAGTTCCAACTTACACTGCTGTCTAAGCCAACACAAAATTCAGCCTGAATGGTTCTGTCCCACAAAGGGCCTGATCCAACCCCCCTGAATTCATTGGAAAGTCTCCCATTGAGTTCAGTAAGAGAACGCCCAAAAAGCAATATATGGTATAAGTTGGATTTTCCTCAGAGCATGCAGAGATGTGCCTACTTTTAAAAGTTATTTTAAAAAGTGATTAGAATTGAGATCTCAGACCTTTCTGAAAATTACATACTATTCTTCCAATAAGTTTATCCAGTGCTGTGGAACATTCTCATCATGTTTCTATGAGTTAAGACCTTGTCTTAACAGTGCTTAGCTAAGGTTTTTAATGGTGCTGCAAGAGGCTGGTTTCAGAATCTACTTGATTTGGTTAGTTAATTGCATAGCTCTGTAATTTTGGGGGATTACTAATAGTTCTGTTTCAAAATCCATTCCTAATTATCCAAATGTTTGGAAAGACTAGAAAATCATGCATTTGATTACTCTACAAATAACTCAAGGTTGTCATCTCTATAAAGCGATCATTTAAAATGTTCCTATCAACACTAAGGGACACAAAGCCTGATTCTGATCTAATTTTTCCCAGTTTTATATCTGTATCACTCCAATGACTTCACTAGAATTTTGCCAGATTTACATAGATACAATCAAGCCCATATCCACAGTCCCCTCTTGATGTGTTCATAGACGCAGCTGCCTTACCAATTATACACCTGTTAAGAGAAGACCGTATCTTGTTAGTCCCTATACTTCTAGAAATTCCCAACTAATCTGAGTGATGAAAAAATGACAGTGAACTGAAGAGTCACAGGTATTTATTATGACAAGGTTTTACAAACAGATATGGGTACAATTTGTCACACTCTCGCCACAGAACGTTAAGCATCTGGACAGTTTAAGAGATTGGCGTGTCCTTTTATCTTTCTGTACACTGCCAAAGCAGGCAGATGCTCAGCACTTCATTTCCATAATCTATGGCAGTTTGATCTCTTTAGAAAACCTGTGCAGGTGCAAGACTACTTCCTTCAAACCAAATCTGTTCTCTCTGTCTCCAGATTCTGGTAGAAGCTTTTAGGGGTGGGGGAATCAGACGAGGCTAGATACCTAGCTTTGAAATAATGATTATTGAGGTAAAATAGGAGCACAAAAGAAGCAATTGAAAGGTTGCCTAGGTAACTCTTTCTGAGTGGCCTGGGTATATTTCAAGCAGCAGACTCAGCAGGAATAAACCTCCATAAACACGTTTCAAAAACAGCACTGAATGACTAAGTATTTTCTGAATTATCATATTTAGAGATTAGCAGTGATTAATAATCTTCTTTAATCATGGTAACTCTGCACATATATTGATATGTATATGGACACACAAACACATTTGTAGAACACGCAGATGTTAAACACACAATTCATGCATGCAGTACTGTCCATTCTGATCATATGCCTTTTGATTCTGATTTTTCTTCTGTGTAAATCAGGACTAACTCCACTGGCTTTTAGTGGAATTACTCATGATTTACACAAGTACTGATGAGTTCAGAATCAGACCCATTGTTGTCTTACACGGGCACAGAAAATATCGCAAACTATGAAACCTCAGAAGCTCATCACATAATTCTACAGAGGGATGGAAAGGAGACTAATTATAGTGACAAATTTGGAGCTGGTGACATGAAGAGCGAGTTATCTGAACTAAATCAAAGTCTCTTCAATTCAAAAACAAAAGCTTTTACTGTTTGCACACACTGGGAAAACAGCGTCATTTTATGCTCTGGTTTCTCTTCACCAGGTTTTAGGCACAAGTCTGCAGTTTATGTGGCAAACAATTTAAAACTCACAGTAATAAAAAAATACAAAGAACCACAAGGCAACCACATGGCACTGTGAATGGCTATGGAATTATGAACAGGTGGCAGCTTCTGTAATTCTGCATATGACTCTGGGTTCTAAGCAGAGATTTTGCAGGCAATGTAGTAAAGAAAAAGGGAAGCATACACTACAATTGGTTGCAGGTCTCTTATTCTGGTGAAAATACTTAGCAGAAAGATATTGTACACATCACAAGTGATTATTACCATACTAGGTCTGAATACTGCCCTTAGTCATATGCATACCAGTTCCAGTGGCAACAATGGAAGCTGCGCATACATTATAACGGGCACAATTTGGTCTTTAAGGTCTAATCCTTCATTTCTAACTTGTAGGAATAAAGGATGCAGAATCAGGGCTTGATTTGCAGAGTTAATGAGCTCCAACAACTCACATTGAAATCAACAGAAGCTGAAGATGTTCAGAATCTTTGAAAAATCTGACTAATGGGGAAAAGCAATACTGAGTTATCCACAAGAGGTTGGAGTGGAGAAAAGGGAAAAAAAATCACTACGACTCTGAGACAGTATAACTGTTCCACTCAGAGTCAACTCATCCATGAACAAACTAGGGAAATACAACCTAGATGGAACTACTATAAGGTGGGTGCATAACTGGTTGGAAAACCATTCCCGAAGAGTAGTTATCAGTGGTTCACAGTCATGCTGGAAGGGCATAGCAAGTGGGGTCCCGCAGGTATCAGTTCTGAGTCCGGATCTGATCAATGATCCAGTCCTTCATCAATGATTCAGATAATGGCATAGAGAGCACACTTATAAAGTTTGTGGTCGATACCAAGCTGGGAGGGGTTGCAAGTGCTTTGGAGGATAGGATTAAAATTCAAAATGATCTAGAGAAACTGGAGAAATGGTCTGAAATAAATAGGATGAAATTCAATAAGGACAAATGCAAAGTACTCCACTTAGGAAGAAACAATCAGTTGCACACATACAAAATGGGAAATGACTGCCTAGGAAGGAGAACTGTGGAAAGGGATCTTGGAGTCAGAGTGGCTCACAAGCTAAATATGAGTCAACAATGTAACACTGTTTCAAAAAAAGCAAACACCATTCTACACTGAATTAGCAAGAGTATTGTAAGCAAGACACAAGAAGTATTTCTTCTGCTCTACTCTGGGCTGATTAGGCCTCAACTGAAGTATCGTGTCCA